TAGGTGTGTTTGGGGAGTGTGGGGTAGGGTGCATGGGGAGCAAGGGGACATGTGTTAGGTATGTATGGGGAGTGTGAGTTGTGTATGGGAAGGTGAGGGAGGGTGTGTGTGGGGGAGGGGGAGGTGGGATATGTGTTAGGTATGTATGGGAGGGAGTGTGTGTTAGGTGTGTACATGGGGGAGTAAGAGGTGATATGTGTTAGGTATGTATGGGAGTGTGGAGTTGGGGTGTGTTAGGTGTGTAAGTGGGGAGTGTGAGGTGGGATAAGGCAAGTTAGTATGTAAGGAGTGTGGAGTTGGGGTGTGGTTCGGGTGTGTATGGGAAGCAGAGGGAGGGTGTGTTAGGTGTGTGGGGAGGTGGGAGGGGGTGTGTTAGGTTTGTATGGGGATCAGTGGTAGGGTGTGTATTAGGTTTGTACTGGGGTGGAGGTGGGTGTGTGTGTTAGGCTCTCAGGCATGGGGAGTGTGGAGGTGGGTGTGCATTGATGTGTTTGGGGGAGGTATGGGAGTGAGGTGGGTGTGTGTTAGGTGAGTGTGAGGTGACGTGTGTTAGGTTTGGGAGTGTGGGAGGGTGTGAGTGTGAGGTGGGGTAAGAAAGGTATGGGGAGTGAGGAGGGGTTAGGTGTGTATGGGAGTGTGAGGTTAGGTGTGGGGGATGGGAGGTAGGTGTGTATGAGAGTGAGGAAGGTGTGTTGGGGTGTGGGGTTCGGGGAGTGTGAGGTAGGTGTGTGCTAGGGTGTGTATGGGAAGCAAGGAGGTAGGGGTGTGTGTTAGGTGCATGGAGAGTGTATGTAGGGTAAATAGGGAGTGTGGAGGTGGCTGAGTGTTAGGTCTAGCCAGAGTGTGAGGTGGTACAGGGTGGTGGGGAGCATGAGGGATGTGTGTTAGGTATGTATGGGGGAGTGTGAGGTGGTGTGTAAAGAAAGAGTTTGGGGAGGAGGTGTAAGGTGTGTAAGGGAAGTGTGGAGGGGGAGGGAGGGGGTAAGGTGTGTTTGGGAAGGGAGGTAGGTGTGTGTATGAGTGTGATGGGTGTGGGGTGTGGGGAGTGTGAAGTGACGTGTGTTAGGTAAGCTAGGGGAGGTGTGGAGGCAGGTGTGTGGGGTTAGGTGGAGGAGCAGGAGGTGGGTGTGGGTTAGGTGTGTATGGGGAGAGTGAGGAGGTGTTAGGTGTATAGGGAGTGTGAGGTGGGGGTGTGTGTTAGGTGTGTGTGGGGAGTGTGAGGGGGTGTGTAAGCAGGTGTGTTTGGGGAGTGTGGAGGCAGGGTGTGTGTTAGGTGTATGGGGAGTGTGAGGTAGGTGTGTGTTTTAGGTGTGTGGGCGGGGGAGGAACTGGGATGTGTGTAGTATGTTTGGAGTGTGATATGTAAGAGGGTGTGTGTTAGGTATGGGGAGTGTGGGAGGGTGTGTGTTAGGTGTATGGGGAGGGAGGTGGTGTGTTAAACAGGGGGGAATGTGGAGGTGATTAAGGTGTTGTGTGTTTGAGGAGGAGGTAGGTGTGTTAGGTGTGCATGGGGAGGTGGAGAGGGGTGTGTGTTGTTTGTATGGGGAGTGTGAGGTGTGTGTTAGTGTGTTTGGGGAGTGTGGGAGGTGGCGGTGTGTTATAGGGTGTGTATGGGGGAGGTGAGGTGGGGGTGTGTTAGGTGTGTATGGGGAGTGAAAGGTGGGATGTGTAAGTTAGGTGTGTTGGGGAGTGTGAGGTAGGGGTGTGTGTTAGGGTATGTATCGGGGAGCAGGAGGTAGGGGGAGGTGAAGTGATGTGTTAGGTTTGTACGGGGATCAGAGGTATGTAAGGGTTTGTATGGGAAGAGATGGGTGTGTGTGGGGGAGGGAGGGTGTGTTAGTATAAAATGGGGAGGGGAGGTGGTGTGTGCAAGAGCAGGAGTGTAGGGTGTGTTAGGGTTTGTATGGGGACTGAGGTAGGGTATGTGTTAGGTTTGTATGGGAAGCATGATGGGTGTTGGGGAGGGTAAGGTGTGTGTTAGGTGTGGGGAGGTGAGGGGTGTAAATAGGTGTGTATGAGTGGAGGTGTTAGGTGTGGGAGTGTGAGGTGGGTGTGTGCAAGGAGGAGGAGTGAGGTAAGGTGTTGAAGCTAGGTGCTCGGGAGCCAGGAGGTAGGTGTGGTGCTAGGGCGTGCATGGGAAGTGTGAGGTAGGGTGTACAGGTGTGTGTGAGGAGGTGGGGGTGCAACAGTGTGTGGGGAGTGTGTGGAGGGATGCATAGAGTGTGAGTTGTGTTG